TTTCAAAGTTGGAAAGTTTTATTGGAGGAAGGCAGACCTCAGAGCTAGGTAAATATTTCCTGAGCACATGCTATGTGCCAGGCACTGTGCCAGGCATGGTGAGAGATGCAAAGAGGAAGAACACAGCACCTGCCCTCAAGAGGTCTGTAGGGGCCATTTGATGAGCCCATCCATCACTATTATCCTACGCTATGAGATGACTAAAGAGAGTGAGATTTCATCTAGTTGAGAAGGTGTGTGGCATTGAAGACATTTTGGGTAATTGTTGCTGTAACTAGGGTTGGACAGCATCTTCAGGTCAGAGCACAGAGAGCCATGAAGGACACACCAAGGTGGATCATTTGGAAGTCTAGTGGGCCCATTCAACAATTTTGAATCAAGAGTGACATGTTTAGGCATTTACTGGTAGAAAGGGGGCAGGCGCAGTAGATGCCATTGCTTTAGGGGGTTTGGCAGTCAAGGGAGCTTTTCAGGTACCTGCAATGAGCACTGGGAGTAAGTGGAAGCATTTATAAAGAAAGGTTCAGAATGACCAGGACAGCTCCAAAGCCTAAAGTGATGAGATCTTGGTTTGATCCCCTGAGAAATGGGAAGCTATTTCATCTGTGCCTCTGACCTACTCCTTTGCCTGATGATGTTGTGGCTCTGTAAGGCCATACTTGCTGTTCACAGTCAACATCTATTCTGATGGTTTGTTAGTCCATTCTGATTGGCCAGCATTGAAGATACACTGCTGTTGAATCCATCCCTGCCCATTTCATAAGGTTGTTATAATGTTAATTTGTGTAATGTAGGTAATATACGTGGCACAGGCTAGATACTTGAGAAATGAAATCAGGGACCAAATTTGTTGCTCCAATATGTGGCCTGAATATAGGAGGATATCAGCATAAGCCCATGAAGATCTCCAAGAAGTCTCTAAGTAAGGCATTTGAAGCCCCTGAGGCCCATTCCAATCTACAAATATTGTGATCTTTATCAAACCCCAGTTAGTCTGACATGCTGTGTAAATTCCCATGGAACAACTGAGAAGCCTCAGTTGGATTCAGGAACTGTCTAATTTATTCTCATCGGTCTTTTGAGAACAGACCTGCTGTGGTAGCTTATGACAAACCAAATCCTCAAGATCGTGCTGCTAGGATGAGGTAGAGCAGGTTGCTGCATAGCCAGGGACAGTGAGTTCAGACCACCTGGAGTCTTCCTTTCTCCAAACAAGGCTTTGGACTCTAGTGCTTAGAGATTGGGCCCAGACTCTCAATTCTCTCCAAACTAGAATTCTGGCGGGTCTTCCTGCCCACTACTTACCCAGCCCCACATTCTGGCACTCCCTATTTGTCCCCAGTTCACAAAGAAGTGTCTGTGAGAGTTATAAAAGCACAGACTGTTCACTGATGTGACTTGCTCACCGATGTATCTCTAGGACCCAGCACAGTGTTTCACACAAAGTAACATGCAATAAATATTTGTTGAATGAATGAATGAATGAATGAATGATTCTTTCTCAGTCTTTAGTTGGTGCGTCGTGAAGCCTTCTTTCCTTCTCTCCTTTAGAGCCCATTGTCGCTTTGCCAGCCTCCTGGACTCCGACAGTGCTTACCATCTGTGTCTGTCCTTTGGCAACTAGCCAAACTCAACTCAGTTCAATTCAACCAAGTTCCATAGAGCTAGCTGCACTGTTGGCAGGAAGCACTCAGAGTCTTAAGGAATGGCGAAAGCATTTCCTATCCATGGCGCCTCAATTGTGCTTTTAAAACAACCTTGGCATGGAAGAGAACCTTTCCTGAGAGTTTTTGAAAGTCTAAAAACATGATTGTGAATTACTTCCCTTTGTCAACACACTTGATTACCATTTTGGAAATGAGTTCTTGGCGATGGATAAACAGATGATTATTTGACAGGTACGGGGCTGGTGGAAAATGGGGGTGGGGAGGTGGTGAGGAATGAGAACCAGTGCCCATCTGGTGGATTTGCAGTTTCATTACGTGTGATAGGGAAAGGGGTTGGCATCTCAGCCATTCTGGGCAGGCCTGGAACTGAGATTTAAAGATTTAAAGATTTAAAGATTTAAAGATTTAAACTGAACTCCATTAAAGAAAAAATGAGGAACAACTCTTGGGTTTCTGAACATAGGGCTGAATGGATGGAAGTGGTGTTGCAGGTTTATTCTAGCCATAGCATGATAAGTTCCGCTGTAGGCAGGGAGATCTGCCAGGAGAGTCTCTGTTTGCATATTTGACATGAGGTAATGAGAACATGGATTAAGCTTGTGGCAATAAAACCAGAAAGGAAGGAGCAAAGGATCTGAGACATGCTACCAAGAATCAGAGCTAGAGATTCAAATTTGGCTAAATATATGCCATGTGAAGAGATACTCTTCAAAGAAATGGGTGTTAAGAGAGAATAGCTGAGGATTGAATCTTTGGGAGTCCAACAGTTAATGGGAGGAGGAAAGAAGAGGAGCCAGCAAAGGAGACAGAGAGTGATGGGTCAGAGAGATAAGAAGAGAAACGTGGGAATGCAATGCCACGAAAACCAATGGTAGGACAGTTACAGGAAGGACTGGGTGGTTGATGGTACTAAATTCATCCTCAAGGTCAAAGATGCAAAGGGAGCAGAGACCTCTGAATCTGACCAAGAGGTCACTGGTGAACTGACTTATAGAAAGCAGTTTTGGCAGAAAGCACTGGACTCTAGAAGGTTCAAGAGGAAGGAGAGGTGGGAAAATTGAGGTAGCCCATGAGTGCCACCCACGTGACACAAGTAATGTGTTAGAACTGAGAAGAAGAAGGTCCAACTTTATAATTCCAGTCCTTCTACTTAACCAGTCTGAACCTCAGTTTCCTCTTTGGAAAATGAGAATCCTATTAGCTCATAAGGTTGCTGAAATTAGAAAACAAGTTTTAATTATTATTTTTATGTTACAGTAATGGGGCTTCTTCCTCCTTTCCTCTCAAAAAAAAAAAATCCCTAGCTATTTCTAGGTATTTTTTTTTTTTTAACACAGCACTCCCTAACTGTTTTGGCACCAGAGACTGGTTTTGTGGAAGACAATCTTTCCATGGACATTGGGGGAGAGATGGATATTTTCAGGATGAAACTGTTCACTTCAGATCATCAGGCATTAGATTCTCATAAAGAGCATGCAACCTAGATGCCTGGCATGCACAGTTCACAATACGGTTTGAGCTCCTCTGAGAATCTAATGCCACCACTGAGCTGACAGCAGGTGGAGCTCAGGTGATAATACTTGCTTGCCCTCTGCTCACCTCCTGCTGTGTGGCTGGTTCCTAACAGACCAGGATCCAGCAGCCTGGGAGGTTGGGGACTTCTGTTATAACATGTAAGAGGAGTCTGTTAGCTCAGCAGTCATATCACTAGGTTAGTACTGCTTTGGAAATTCTCTAGCTGTTTCCTCTGGCATTCATACTGCCAAGTTGCTTAACAATTCTTTCCTGAGCCCCTCTGAGGTGAGACTATTGAGACAAGGTGATTGATTAGAAGGGAGCCAGTGTCAGGGTCATGTGGAATGCCCCTGAGGCCTGTTTAGAGGCTGTGAGGCAAGGCTCTATTTGAGACCCTGGATAGAGTTTGGTGCCAACCTTGCCTGAACACACAGGAGGCTACAGCCCCTGGGTAGATGGTGAGCTGAAGAACGGTTGGGGAAGAGGCAACGGAAAAACCTTCCTTTTTAAACCCATGGCACCTATAGATTGAATGGTCCCTGGACTGAACAGTCTTGAACAGGCAGCATTATTTTCAAGGTGTGCATAAGGTCACATACTTTTCTCTTTCTGCTCTCATTTGGCAACTATGGACAGCCAGACCTAGCCAGCACTACCTCATTTTTTCTACCCCACCATCTGCAAACCAACCCTTTTCCTTTGCAACGCTCAGTCTGTTACCAGTTTAACATATCTGGCCTGATCTTTGTCTTGGTGCCTTGTTTCCCCCCCCCCCTCAAAAATAGCCTTTGAGAAAAACATGGCTGCCCCCAAACCATTTTGGGCCTAGACCTATTATCAAGGTTTAGAGAGACACATAGCTGTGTGCTGGCCTAGCTGGGAGTAGGGTGAGCATATTCTCTAGAACTGGCACTTTTCAGATCCTGAGACATCTACAGAGTGTAGTCAAAGGGCTTTTTTTTTTTTTTTTTTTTTTTTTTTTTTTTTTTAATGTGCATGCTACTCTTATTGGAAAAAGTTGGTTTCGCTTCTGGGAAGACGGCTTACCCAAGGGAAACAAGATCCCATTATGAATAGTACATTCATATGCTAAGATGTGTGGACCTTTCAAAAAATGTCATAGTACATCAGAGCAGGGGTGCATCCAAGAAGGCTGTTATATCGCCAGAAACCATTTTGGATAACCAGGGAGTTGTACTTCTGCCTTGGTCTTCTATCAAGTGCCTGAGCATTCAGTCACCAAGTTCAGCCTGTGCATCTTCTGAGTAAGATGCTCTTCTCCCACAGGGTAGAAGGGGTGTAGGAAAGGGGGCGGGGAAAAAGGAACGGAATGAGGACTGGAAAGGTAGGCCAGGGTCCTTGTATATGGGAGTAACTTCCATAAGATGTGGACAAGGGGGTCTCCGCTGCGGAAAGGCATCTGCCGTCTCCCTTGAGAGCCCCAAGGCAGAGCTGCCTTAGGGGGCCAAATGCTGTATCTGGGCCAAAGCCTGGCCTGCAGGGCAGGTGGCCAGAACTTGGAAGGAATTATCTTCCGCAGCCCAGGGTCCAGGCTTGGCCCCAGCAAGCTGCCCTGCCAGCCTCTGCTGCCTGGGGCCTCGCGCATTCCGAGCCCCCGCCCCCTCCACCCGTCTGCCGGTCTCGCCCCCACTCTTGTCCCCTTCTCCTCCTCCGACCAGCTGTCCCCTTTCCCTGGAGCGGCGAGACAGCCAGAGCCTGGGAAGAGGCGGTCGCGGGCCGGAGGGGGCGTGGTGGGGAAGGGGAGGAGGGGCGGGGGTGAGGGAATAAGGAGGCCCCGCGGTCGGCGCCCCCAGCCACTGCGCGCCCGCCGGAGAGCTGGGTGCCACCGCCGTCGCCACCGCTGAGCCCTGCCCGCCGGCCGGCCGGCTCGCTAGCTCGCTTCCCTCGCCCAGGGGGAAAGGTCAGCAGCGTCCTGGAGCCGCCGTGTCACTCCCCGAAAGCCATGAACTGCAGCGAGAGCCAGCGGCTGCGAACCCTTCTGAGCCGCCTGTTGCTCGAGCTGCACTATCGGGGTAACGCCAGCGGCCTGGGCGCTGGCCCTGGTCCCAGCATGGGCATGGGGGTCGTGCCTGACCCTTTCGTGGGCCGCGAGGTGACCAGCGCCAAGGGCGACGACGCCTATCTCTACATCCTGCTCATCATGATCTTCTACGCCTGCTTGGCCGGAGGCCTCATCCTGGCCTACACCCGCTCCCGTAAGCTCGTTGAGGCCAAGGACGAGCGGTCCCAGGCTTGCGCCGAGCACGAACGGGCCCCGGGAGGCGCCCCAGCCGCTGACGCCGAGACTGCCGCGGTCTTCCTGGCCGAGAGCCGCCACCAGCTTGCCCCAGGGGGGCTACCTGCCCTCGCCCAGGGCGCCGAGCGGGTCTAGAACCACAACCACAGTTTGCTGGTTCGCGCCCTCCTCAACTCGCTCAACCCTGGGCGCGGCTTCTGCCTTCCACCCAGCACTCTTTTCCAGGGTTTGCCTCACCTGAGTCCCAGATAATGGTGAGAGGCCAGGAGACCTTGTCTGGAAGGCCCTGGAAGGAGAAGCACCACCTTACCCATTCCTGGCCAGTTTCTCCCTCTTCATTCCTGCGCCTCCACCCCCACCCCACCCCCAACTGCACTAAACTGCCTCTGCTCTCTTGTCTTCAGACAGCCCTGACAGCACGCTCCAGCCCTCTGGGAACTGAATCCAACACGTCCAACACTTGGCATTGAACTGAAGCAATGCATTCTATCAGAACTCTGGGCCGTCTAACTGGCAGCTGCTCCAGGGACTGTCAGGGACTGCTCACTGCAGAGCCAACGGGCTTGCCAGGCCGACTGCAGCAGCTCCAGCTTCCAGTTGCCTTAGGGACAGAGACAAAGAAAATGAAGAGACCTCAGATATCTTTTCCCTCCCTCTCTCTTTCAGCAGGGAGCTAGCAGGACACTAGGACCAGTCTGTGGGATAGAATGGACTTAATGCGGGACGGGTCGGGGAGGAGTGTTCAACGGCGAGGGAAAAGATCTGTAACTCCAACTGTGTGGTTTGCTTGCCTCCCCAGTTTCCACCCCAGTGGTAACTTGCCTGATTTTTGGTAGCTCTGCCATCTTCTGCTGAGGGTTATCATGACCGGGGGGATCACCCCAATACTTCAGATGCCTCTCTGTATTGATTCAGTTGTTATTGCAGTGTCTGCTTCATCCATGGAACTTGAGGCTCAGATGTGCCCTGCTCTGTAACCCTGGGGAATGTCAGAGGCAGGTAATAAAGGTTGTTTAAACAATAGCGCAAGACTCTTCTCTCAAAGATTCCAGCCTTAAGACCCAGTACCATATGAAGAAGGAATCCTTTTTCTTTTGCTTTTGGAATTTGTTTGGATTTGGGGCTTGGGTGGTTATGATATTTATATCTATATATCCAGTTCCAATTTGATATGTGTGATTGTGGGTGAAGAAAATGTTTATATGGCTAACTGGGTTGTTTTTTCAAGTGTTTCAAAAGTTATACCTACTTTATTACTTAACATTCCTATTTTCTTAATTCTGAAGCACTTTCAAATATCACAATGTGGTTTTTCAGGATGCACTTAAATAAAACCTTTCAGGCCAATTAGTTTTAGCTATTATAAAATCTAATTTTTAGAAGCCACCTTAATAACTGTTTTTGTTTTACTTTTTTTTGAGACAGAGTCTCGCTCTGTCACCCAGGTTGGAGTACAGTGGCACAGTTAAGTCTCACTGATGGCTCTGCCTCCTGAGTTCAAGCGATTCTTGTGCCTCAGCCTTCCAAGTAGCCTCCTCAGTAGCTGGGATTACAGATGTGCACCACCATGCCCTGCTAATTTTTGTATTTTTAGTAGAGATGGAGTTTCACCATGTTGGCCAGGAGGGTCTCAAACTCCTGATCTCAAGTGATCTGCCTGCTTTGGCCTCCCATAGTGCTGGGATTACAGGCATGAGCCACTGCGCCCAGCCTATAACTTTTTTTAAGTGGCTTATTAAAAGACAAGGAAGCCACCAAACAGTGCAAATCTTAAGTCAAAGAGAAAATGCTTGAACTGAGCAATCTTAACCAATGATGGGTACAGTTAGAGGTGTGTGTTGTATTGATTTATTCTCGTCTCAAGAAGGTTGTCGGAAACTTTCCTGCTTACAGCTGAAATACTTATATCTGATGATGGCTGTTTGGGCTTCATCAACCACACATAAAATCACCTCAAAGTAAGCCAATTTGCTTAAATATAGCTGGGTTCTCTGATAATGATAGCAGCACAAAGATATTACCAGTTACTTAAATGCATTGATAACACGCAAACCTCATTCAAAGCATTGGGTCTGACCTTCCAGTCCATCTAGCATTTTATTCAAACTATTAATAAGTTAAATGAACTTACCTTTATTTCCAGGATTCACTCCTTGAAGCTATACTGGCCTTGCCCTATGGGCTCCTCTCCAGTCCTCATTCTAGCCATAAGGTCACCCTTGAAAGTGGGGGCCAGGAATTGGGCAGCAGTCCAAGATGATGACAGAAAGAGAGGGGAAGCTGTGAGAGCCATTTCAGCCAGGCAGGGAGGCTTGGAGAGGATGTGGAGGGAGGGCCCAATATACAGCAATGCTGAGGACATGTGACGGGACAGCCTTCAGTCCTGTGTTCTAAGTCAAACAATGTCACTCATTTATCTGGCATAATGGGGACTCGAGGTTATTATTATTCATTTTTTAAATTGAGACCGAGTCTTGCTCTGTTGCCTGAAGTGCAGTGGCACCATCTCAGCTCACTGCAACCTCTGCCTCCCAGGTTCAAGTGATCCTCTTGCCCCAGCCTCCTGAGTAGCAGGGACTATGGGCTGTGCCACCATGCCTGGCTAATTTTTCTATTTTTCTTTTTCTTTTTGTATTTTTTAGTAGAGATGGGGTTTCACCATGTTGGCCAGGCTGGTCTCGAACTTCTGACCTCAAGTGATCTGCCCATTTCAGCCTCCCAAAGTGCTGGGATTACAGGCGTGAGCTACCACACCCAGTCTCAAAGTTATTTTGATAATGAAGCATAAGCACTGCTTCGGGTGTTGAAATTTTGTAAACATATTTGTACCATTTCCCCATAGACATTTAAAAGAATGTATTTCCAAAATAAAGGAAGCTGAGAGCAGTTGGGACAGTGTCCATAATACATATTAATGTGCCAGCTGTGAAAAACAAATCCTATGGAAAATGTTCCTGTTTTTAAAAACATTTTATCCTTTTCATGATGACTTACGGTACCTGTGAAGAACATGTAATGAGAGTAGCTATGGAAGTCTTCTTGGGAGGAAAGTGAAATGGGCTGGGAAGAATGATTTGCTTTACTTCCCAGTTGCTTTTTTCAAATACTTTCAGACTTTCAACCGTGTCCCAGATAACGAAGTTTTTCAGAAGTCTGAACACTCAACTTGCTACCAGACAGTGGGGGTGTTAACAGCATTGAAGTGATCATATTTTGGTTAGCAAAAGATAGAGAGAAAGAAAAACATGGTGCTTTGCCAACCCCCAGTTTTGATAAGGTATCCCTGAAGAGCAATAGCTGACTATACAAATTGGGAAAATGTTAGCCTTGTCCTGAATGCGATCTTAAAGATGTTAAACATTCTAATAAATGAGAATGATTCTTTTTTCCCTCCACCAAGCAGCCTATTTCTCCAGTCTGCACAACCAGGTCCTGTTTCAGTTCAGGTTCAGATCTTCACTTCAAAATAATAATGAAGCTAACTTGAGGCTTTCTACAAAGATGAACTAGGGGATGTTTTGAGTTTCAATGTCTGGAAGTGCTCATCGACAGTGCAAAAAGAAATGAAAGCTTTTCTTCTATTATAGACACAATTCCGTGTTGTCTATTTTACTTTTCTTGAAGGATACAAATGGAGTCTTTTATTTGTAGTTTACCATCTTCTCCTTTTCAATTTGCCATTGCTTTTATAAACCCAAGATCTGCACAACAACAACAAAAAGGTCTAAGCTGCGTTCCAAACAATCCTGCCTGCTGGCTGAAGCAAATACACCATGATGTAGAGCGAGCATAGGACCAGAAATCAGGAGAACTGGGGTCCAGCTCAGGCTTTGCCAATTAACAAGCTTTGTTTCTCAGAGTGAGCTGCTTAACCTCTCGGGGCCCCAATCTCTGTAGCTGTGGGGATTTGAGGATCAAGTGAGATAATATATGGGAAAAGGCTAGTAGAGGTATAGCAGGTATAGAAGTTATGAGAGCTATGCTTTCCTTTTCCTTTTCTGGAGGCGCGCCCTTGGCATTTGGGTGGGGGTAGTGGGAGGAAGAGAAAATTTTCTACGACGTAGTTTCTACAGTTAATGCTCAAGAAGAGGATTGCTAATAGCCACTGGTTTCTAGATTTTCCAGCTTATGTCCCCCATTCTCAGGATCTTGGCTGACTAGGAAACTACGTAACTGTCTCACTAACCTACTCTACTTCCCTTTACCTGCAGGCACATCATGCTCTTTAAAAAAAGTATGAACACTAACACTTTATTTATAATGCTCCACCAGGACTGGAGTCTAGACTTTTGAAGTCAAGAGTCCTCAGAGATTGGCAGTGGGAATGAGGGGAAAAAATGAAGGGTAAGAATCAGAGGCATTGGGCTTCATAAAGGAGGTAGGAAGAAGAGTGAACTAGAATGTTCTGTGAAGGTAAGAGAGTATGATTGAGCATCACCAAAGATGAATAGATTAGATTGGTCAATAGCCTGCCTAGATGAACTTGACCTTTCCATCAAAAATGGCCTTGGGAGAAGATGTTGGATGAGAAGTCACTTTTCAGCCCTTTGATTCCTACTTAATATAACCTATAAGTTGTCCAGGAAGGCAAATAATATGATTAAGCCAACTCCTCTTTCGGTGCCAGGCCTCACAGCATGGGACCAGGTGGCCCCAACCAGTCCCCCACCTGCTATGTTTTGAAAGAGGACAGAGTTATGGTCAAAGCTGTGGCCTGTGCTTCTTCCTCTGAAGAGGGTGCAGCCAGAGCAGACAGGGAGATACCTCAGATACATTTTAAAAATTGTAGTAAAATACACATTATGCAATATTTACCCTCATAGCCATTTAAAAAAGTGTACAGCTCAGTAGAACTACATTGACATTCTTTGGCCACAGCACCATTTTCAGTCAGAGAAAAAGGAAAGCAGCTAAATTCCCTTAAATAGAAGAGGTATACTTAATCATTGCTTCAGATGGCACCCCTTCCATGGATACTCACATTTCGTAACAGATCACTTAGGACAGTGTAAAGGTAGAACCCCAAGAAAGAAATTCCAGTTGTGGGGTTCAGTGGAATCTGGAAGGAGATATACCTTGAAATGTTTACAGATGTCAGGCAGAGTACAGCAGTTGGTGTGCTGGACTTCCCACAACTTTTCAAGTCACATTCTACTCTCATTGCCAGATGTTCTTGGAACCCTGGGGAGGATGGAGGTGGCCATGAGTGACTGGATTGCAGTACAAACTCACTGGATTTCCACATGCCTGACTCATAAAGTGTCAATTCAAGAAAATACTTGCCGGGCGCGGTGACTCAAGCCTGTAATCCTAGCACTTTGGGAGGCCGAGGCGGGTGGATCACGAGGTCAAGAGATCGAGACCATCCTGGTCAACATGGTGAAACCCTGTCTCTACTAAAAATACAAAAAATTAGCTGGGCATGGTGGCATGTGCCTGTAATCCCAGCTACTCAGGAGGCTGAGGCAGGAGAATTGCCTGAGCCCAGGAGGCGGAGGTTGCGGTGAGCCGAGATTGCGCCATTGCACTGCAGCCTGGGTAACAAGAGCGAAACTCCATCTCAAAAATAAAATAAAATAAAATAAAATAAAATCGAACTAATACATCATTGAAAAGATGCTGCAGTAACAGAAAAATACCAAGCAAAACTGAGAGATTATTTCTCCTATTAAACTGGGTGAAGATGGGAATAAGCAGGACAGGTGGAAGGGGAGAGAAGTCCTTTGCCTGCTTGCCAGGAATCCCTCTGTCCACTGGACGGCCACCTTAGCAAACGCGACACCAAGGGGAATGGCTGAGGGGAGTGAGGGGAGAAATACTAGGATGGGTCCCCTTAGGACTGTAAGAATGGAGTTGCCATTATTTTTCTGCAATCTACTTATAAGCCTATACCAAATCAAGGCCACAGAGAAATGACAAGCCCTGCTTGGAGGTAGCTGCTCTGAAATCAGCCAGATGGGTTAATCTCCACCCTGTGTCCCAACTATCTGGTACTACCCTATAGAAGTTTGAGCCTTTCCTCT